ATGCTCTCTCATGCCCCTGAATCCTCCCCTCAACCCCGCACTCTCCTGCTTCTCCTGACCCCTCTCTTTTTCCCCTGCCCCCTCAGACTCTCTCTCCCTCTTTCTGACTCTGTCTCTTTCTCCCCTGCCCCCTCAGGGTCTCTCTCTCCTGTCCCCTGGGCTCCCCCTCTGTTCAGGATTCTGGCGAGCCTGGGTCTGTGGTGATGACACAGCACGAAGTTCCCGCTCACTCACTGGCAGCTCCGCAAACTCTCGTCACCCCTTTGTCTTTTCTGGCTGTGTGTTCTGATGCACATTCCTTCAGGTTGAGCTGCCCCCTATGAGGGCGCGCCAGCTGCTCCTGCCCACACTCCCCAGAGCTGCTGCTGGGCAGCCTTTCACATTCACTCATCAACCAGATGATCGAATATACTCCCCTAGCCAGCTCCTTTACCCCATTCTCTCCAAATCTCCTGCCCCCAGTCTCTGTGTCACACTCATGCCTGTACTCTCTCACTCTTTCTAAATAGTGTCTCTCTCTCGCCCCTCTCCCTCCTTCTCACTCTCTCTGTGTCCCTCTCTCTCTGTCCCTCTGTCTGTCTGTCTGTCTCTCTGTCCCACTCTCTCTCTCTCTGTTCCTCTGAAACCCCCCTCTCTCTGTCTCTCTGTCCCTCTCTCTCACTCTACCTCTTTCTTCCTCTATCTCTTTCTCACAGTCTGTCTCTCTACTTCTCACATACATTCCCCCTCTCTCAGTAGCCTGTGTTTTTTCCCTCATGAAACCCTCTGGTGGGTAATAAAATTGTCGGCTCGATTGACGACCCACTCTCTTAGTTTTCTCTTTGTCTCTCGGTAGCCAATGAGCTTCGATCCTGTTGTCCGCTGGAAGCAGATGGTTCGAAGAGAAGCTCATTCCACGAGTGTCTCCCAACGCCTCATTGTGCTCCGCTTTTGTTTCCCTGTGACCTGTGCTATACACATGAGCCATTAGTCCGTGTGTGAATTTTGCAAGCCAGGGGCTGGCGGTTTTTACTCGATTGGAAAGTGGCATTTGATGTTTCTCCCTCCGAGTCTGTGAACTCACCGTGAGAGCCTCCAGGGAATTTGAAAGCGACCATTTGTCGGGAGCTGGTTTCTGCTCGCCATGTGAAGGTTGGGAAGCAGCCAGAAACATTTCTCTGTTAAATAGCTCTACATTCTCCATTCCCAGGGGAGCAGAGACTCCACCTGAGCAAGGGGCCCAGAGTCAGAACAGTTATCCCATGAATTAACTGTTGGAGTTGCCAGGAAAGAATAGCGTCAAACATGCATATATATCGCATAAAAACCGAAAGAACTGTGGATGCTGTAAATCAGGAACAAAAACAGAAGTTGCTGGAAAAGCTCAGCAGGTCTGGCAGCATATGTGAAGGAAAAAAGAGTTAACGTTTCGGGTCCGGTGACCCTTCTCAGAATATGTATGCATATATATAGCCCCTGTCATATCATAAACCATACAAAGTATCTTCATCGGAGACATTATTGAACAGAAGTAATAGTAGTGTATTTAACAACCCAAATATTACCTGGGATTGTTTTAGTGTGCAAGGTAATGGGGAGCAAAATACTTAAATTGCACTCAGGAGAACGTTTTAAATAGTACATCAAAGGAGGAGCAGTTATGGAGTCATAGAGCAAGGAAACAGACATTTTGGCCCAACTTGTCCATGCCAACCAGGTTTCCTCAACTGAACTAGTCCTACTTGCCCACGTTTGGCCCATATGCCTCTAAACCTTTCCTACCCATGTACCTGTCCAAATGTCTTTTAAATGTTGTAACTGTACCTGCATCTCCCACTTCCTCTGGCAGCTCGTTCCACATATGAACCATCCTCTGTGTGAAAAAGTTTCCCCTCAGGTCCCTTTTAAATCCTTCCCCTCTCACCTTAAATCTATGCCCTGTAGTTTTAGACTCTCCTACCTGAGGAAAAAAAACCTTAACTATTCATGCCATCCATGCCCCTCAAGATTTTATAAACATTTATAAGGTCACCCCTCAGCCTCCGATGCTCGAGGGAAAATAGCCCCAGCCTATTCGGCCTTGCCCTACAACTCAAACCCTCCAACTGCGACAACATCCTTGTAAATCTTTGTTCTGGACCTCATGGTTGGTAATGAGCCATTTTAATCAGTTAGATTTCAGATAGTTATGGAAAAGGATAAGAATGGGGTTGGGATAAAAGCTCTAAACAGGAGAAAGGCTAGTTTTATGAAGATGAGATAGGATTTGGCCCAAGTGGCTTGGGAGCAGCCACCTGCGGGTAGCACTGTGTCTGGGAGGTGGGAGACAGAGCAAACCCATCAAGACAAAGGCTGGGACCAAGACCAGAGAACCCGGGATGTCGAGAAACATAAAGGTTTGGATTAAGAGAAAAAAGAGAAGCAGATACCAAGGGGTCCTTACAACAGAGTCCCAAGAGGAGTGTCCAATTACAAGGGGTGGGGGTGGGTGGGAAATTAAGAGAGGAAATTAGGAAAGCAAAGAAAGTGCACAAGAAGACATTGGTGAGTAGAATAAATGGAAATTCAAAGGACTTTTTAAAAAATATAAAGAGCATGAGAATAACTAGGGAAAGATTCCACACTGTAGGGATTCTATGATTCTAAGATTAGGGCCCATTAGGAACCACAGAAGTTGTGTGTGTGTGTGTGTGCGTGTGTGTGTGTGTATATACCTGGAAGACTTGAGGAATAATCCTCAATGAATACTTTGCACTGGTCTTCACACTGGAAATGGATAATCCAGGTGTAGACAAATGGTGTAGAACTGTGAAAAATAGATAGCGAGAAGAAACATGTAGGTTTAGCAGCCATAAAGTGAATAAATCTACAGGCCTGGGTGAGATGAATCCCAGGCTATTGAGGGATGATGAAGATATCAGGAGCCATGGCAGTAATCTTCAAATCATCTCTGGATGTGAGTGAGATTCCAGAGACTGGTAACATTGTCCCGTTATTAAAAAGGAGGAAGAGATAGGCCAGGAAATTACAGGCCAGTCTATCTACCCTTGGTAGTGGAGAACTTATTTGAAAGAACTCTGAGCGACAGAAAATATCTGCACAGATTAGTCAGAGATACTCAACATGGATTTGGTCAGGGAAGACAGAAATTTTTGATGTGAGAATCAGGAATGTTGATGACTCATTTAGTCGATAAGGGCTTTAACAAGGCTTTGATCAGGTTCCTCACGGTAGACTGGTCAAGAAAGTAAGAGACCATGGGTTCTGAGGCAAAGTGACACATTGGATCTAAAATTGGGTGACAGGAAGTAGAGGGCAATGGTGGAGGGATGCTGGAAGTATGTTTGCAATGGGGTAACTCTTGAAATAACTCTTCAGACGCCAGCATCCCATTACCAATCACCCTTTATTTACAAATGCACAGCCTTTGACAATAGTATTGCCTCTCAATGAGTCAGGCATTTAAGGCGGTGGGAGGAGTCAATATCCCTAAACCTTTTAATGTCAGCCAGGGCTCCTTGTTTGGACCAAGTTAACAGCCACAATCAGGGAACTCATATTCTTTGAAGTCCAGATATAACACAATGTAGAGCTGGAGGAACACAGAAGGCCAGGCAGCATCAGAGGAGCAGGAAAGCTGATGTTTCGGGTTGAGCCCTTCTGGTCTGGCCTGCTGTGTTCCTCCAGCTCTACACTGTGTTATTTCTGACTCCAGCATCGACAGTTCTTACTATCTCTTCTTTGAAGTCCAGCTGGCTGACCTCATTACAGTCACTACAAGCAGGGCTCAGGGCTAGGGCCCTTCAGTTCGTGGTCTACATTAATGATTTAAATGTAGGGAGTATGATCAAGAAATTTGCAGATGGCATGGGAATCAGTAGATGTTATACAGTGAGGAGGATGGCTGTAAGTTGCAAGAGGATATCAATAGATGGTCAGCTGGGTCAGCAGACAAATTAGGGGTAATACACTTGAGGAGTGTTGACAAGGTGACGTATTACACTGTGAATGGTAGGACCCAGGAAAGTGCTGAAGATATGAGGGAGCTTGGTGCAAATTCACAGATCCCTGAAGGTACAGGGCAGGTAGATAACATGGTTAAGAAGGCATTAAATACAAGAGCAGGTAGATTATGCTGGAACTGTACAAAATACTAGTTAGACCACAACTGGAATACCGTGTGCAGTTCTGGAGGTATGTGTTTGAACTAGAGAGTGTACAGAGGAGAATACCAGGATCCTGATTGAGCTCTGAGGAAAGATTGGATAGATTGGGGTTGTTTTCCTTAGAGCAGTGAAGATGAGAGAGACCTGATAGAGGGGTATAATAAGGGGAATAGACAGAGTGGATAGGAAGGCAGCTTTTCAATTAGTGGACGGGTCAATAGCCAGAGGGCATCGATTTAAGGTAAGAAAGCTGAAAGTTGATCAGAACTGTTCTCACTCAGAGGGTGGTGGGAATCTGGAACTCATTGGCAGAATGGGTGGGTAAGTCAGAAACTCTGGTAACAGGATAATGAATGTCTGACTTACGAACGTTCATACCTACGACTGCCATGTCGTACAGGGGTATAATTTTACTGATCCAACATACTACTGTTTCCTGAATTTACAAATGGCTGCTTTACATTGTCCTGCATTGTGTTCCAACTGGTGAACAAATTGATTTGTCAACAGATTCCAGAAGGCAACCCATTCACAGCACGGGCTCTGCCTGTATTTAGATATTTGCTTGCATTGACATCGCTTCCAGAGCGATGAACCCAGAGCTGAGAAATGGAATGAATGCAGTCAGAGTTTTGTTGACTGGAACAGACATGATTGATTGATTGATTTATTGTCACGTGTACCTAAGAAAAGCTTTGTTTACGAGCAATACAGACAGATCATAGTAGCAAGGACTTACAGATCATAGAGTGAAGAATAAACACTTGGACAGAGGCATACAAGTTACATCGCACAGGGTATGCGCTAGGCAAGATCAACATTAGCAAGATCAGCATCATTTGAAGTTTAAGAGTCCATTTATTAGTCTAATAATGGCAGGGAAGAAGCTGTTCTTTAACCTGCTGATGCATGTTCAAGTCTCCAGCATCTGCAGTTCCTACTATCTCTGATGCATGTTCAAGCTTCTGTACCTTTTCTGTCTGATGGAAGGTGTTGTAGGAAAGAACTGCCAGGGTGCGATGGATCTTTGATGAGATTGGCAGCCTTTCCGCAGCAACCGGCCATGTAAATGGAGTCCATGGAGGGAAGATTGGCTTCTGTGATGGTCTGGGTTGTGCACACCACCTTCTGTAGTTTCCTACAGCCCTGGGCAGAGCAGTTGCCATACCAGGCCGATATGCACCTGGACAGTATGCTTTCAATAGTGCATCTGTAAAAGTTGGTGAGGGACCTTGTAGACATGCCAAATTTCCTGAGCTGCCTGAGGAGAAGAGATGTTGTTGTGCATTCTTGACCATCGCATCTACTTGAGAAGTTCAGCACAGGTTGTCAGTTATCATCATTCCTAAGAACTTGACGCTCTCAAACCTCTCAGCCTCAGTTCCGTTGATGTAGATGGGGGCGCATTCTCCTCCCTTCTTTCTGAAGTCAATGATCAGTTCTTTAGTTTTGCCAACATTGAGAGAGAGGTTGTTCTCATTGCACCACATCACCAAGCCCTCTATCTCCTTTCTGTATTCTGACTCATCTTTGTTTGATATCTGTCCTACCACAATGGTGTTGTCAGCAAACTTATAGATGGCATTTGTTTGGAATTTGGCTACACAGTCGCGAGTATACAGGGAGTACAGTAGACAGCTGAGAACGCATCCTTGGGGGACTGAAGTATTGAGTGTTATCGTGGAGGAAGTGCAGTTGTCTATCTTCACTGATTGGGGTCTGTGGGTCAGAAAGCTGAGGATCCAGTTGAACAGGGCTGAATGGTCTCCTTCAGCACTGAGTCAATAAAATGTGGGGGATACTTGGAACAGGTGACCAAAACCTCAGTCAAAGAGCGGTTTAATCCAGCATCGTACAGGAGGAGAGCACGAGCGATAGAGAGACAGAAGGAGAGGGTTAGGGAGGATGAGGGGGGAGTGCGATGCTGCCTCCATATAGGAAGCTGCTTGGAGCAAACAAGCAGTGGAAACCCCAGTTTCCTGTTGCTCTGCACAGAATTCAATCTAGGAATTACTCAACCAATGCTCCCAGGTCACACCTTCCCAAACCTTGGCTTCTACTCAGGGTCACTCCTTCCTGACCTTTGAACTTTACCCACAGGGTCACACCTTCCTCACCCTTAGCCCCAAATTACAGGGTCACTCCTTCCTGACTCTCACCCACAGGGTCACAACTTCCTGACCAGTACACACAGGGAGACTCATTCCTGACCATTACGTACAGGATTGCACCTTCCTGATGATAGACTCTTACCCACAAGGTTATGTGTTATGTGTAACAACGCCAACACCGCCCCCCTGCCCCCTCTCCACCACCACAGCAGTACAGAGTTAGTCCAAATCGGCCAATTGGCAGCTCTGGATGTTATTCTGAAGGTTACATCAAGTGACCTCCCATCTCTAACCCTGTTACCCCTCCACACCTGCTCCATTGCCCCCACTTTATACAAAGCTAGACTATCCATCTCCTGGTCTTGTCCAAAATCCTATTCACCCATCACCCAGTTTTGCTCAATGATAACCCATGGCTCCTTGTCTAGCAATAATTTCATTCAAACATTCTTCAAATCCCTTTTCAAAGCCTCCCTATCTCCTCTCCCTCTCTCTCAATCTCCACCTCCTCTCCATCTCCTCCTCTCTCCTTCCTAGCCTCCCCATCCCTCCCTATCTGTGTAATCCTTTCAGACCCACAACACATTGAGGTCTGACCAATTGAGCAAACTCTGAGGTTTCCAACAGCAGCTGTGCCGTGCGTTGCCTGAGGCTTGGGTTCCTGACCTCCCTCCCTAACCCTTCCACCTTAACTCTCTCTCTCCTTCTTCCTCTCTCTCTTCCTCCCTCTCTTTCTCTCTCCCCACCTCCTTGAACACTGACCTAAACGACTGAGATTTCGGTCATTTGGCCAGACATCTTCCCCATGGAGCTCAAGTACAAATTTAGTCTGATATCTGTTAGTAACTTCCCAAGCCACTGAAGTGGTTTCTAACTATGATCAGTGCTGTTTCTCTTTAAGCTACAATCTCCAGCTCGATGTATGAGATTGAGGCAGTGAGCAGCTCCCCTCTCTGTTCCTATGCAGATGCAGTGCTGGCTATGTTGGAGATCGGTGCCAGTTTCCAGACCCTTGCCTAAGCTCCCCATGTCAGAACCATGGGAGCTGCAGTGCTGTCATCCGGGGCCAGTCTGTTGATTATGTGTGTGCCTGCCAGCGGGGTTATACAGGGCACCAGTGCCTCTACCGCTTCAACAATGCCTGTCTCAGCAACCCTTGCCGTAATGGAGGCAGCTGCCAACTGGTCAACAACATGCGGGAGTACAAGTGTCGCTGTCCGCCCGGCTGGGCAGGTACGTTCATACAGACCAGGATATCATCCACTCCCCAGAGTATGGCTCCCACACACACTGACTCTCACTGGGGTACAGTCCCACACACACTGA